GCAGCCCCTTTGGTTGGGCTTTTGGCTTTTGGGGCCAAAAGCCAAAGCCAAAAGCCCAACCAAACAGGGCCTGAATCTAATTCGCATATGGTGCCTGTAAGTCCTTGTCCTCTCGATATGATACGAATGTAATCTTTTTAATTTTGTTGTAACTAACCCGCGCCGTGATTTGTAGAATGCAAGCGAACTTTGTGAAAAAGAGGCCAGCTCTGAAACACGGGTATATAGACCCTTCACCTATAGCATCAACAAATTTTAATTACCCTAAAGAGTGGAAACTAGATTGCAAAGAACTAAGAGCTGGAAAGACACTTAAGGAGAAAGAGGACATCAGGAACAAGAAAATATTGGAAGAGTCCCTCAAGGTTGCGGCATACATTGCCCTATGTTTTAAAAATCTTCAACAACACGATAATATATGGATACCATACCACTTCAAGTAAGTTCGACTGTATACTTAGCTTTGTTCAATATACTTTGTTCGATGCAAAAGAGCTTATGTGTTCCTTCTATGACTAAATTCATGCAGCGATCACTGGATTTGCATAGGCGTCTGGCTCTCACATAGCATGGCATGGGTCTTTGATTCAGCGGATTTCCCAATCGAGATATACAAAGACTTCATAGCGATTGTCAAGACGTATACATATTGACAATCCTTATTTTAGCTAGTATGTTTGTATACATACTTGTAAGGTTCAATGTGGGATACTAACAAGTTGCATTTGCTAAAACCATTGGAACAGGGCATTCAGGCACTATGTCCAGGAACATAAGGGGAGGCATCATCCAAAAAGGAAGGAAAAGTTGTATGTCAAAACTCTATGTGCGGTAAGTGTCATTTACTTTGGTACTCCATATATTACGTGTCTGTCAATAGCATTACTTAACATCTCCATATGCAAAACACACAGTGCCCCAAGCAGAAGCCTGGGAGTCTACATTGTGGATACTACACATGTATTATGATGAGTACCATCGGTGGCTACAACAGAAACCCCAATCTGGTAAGTTTGAACCTCTTCGCTGGTAGTATGAAAAGTTCGCATATGTTGTGATATAGTAAACCTAAACTTGTTCTCTTGTAGTTAGAGAAAGATAAAGACACGAGAAGGAACCCATACAAGGATGACGAGCTCTTAGAGATGGTCGGCGACCTTTGCAACTTCATAATGGACCAGATTGTGTATCATAAAGGCACTTACCATCATCTTCTTTCCGACTTAGGTAGTAATCCTCTATACCAACACCTTCGGGAGACTGATAGGCTAGCCCTAGGCCGTTGATGACAATGTGGACTTGTGGTATGGTATGGTTTGGATCAGACTTCGGAACGGTTTGGACTTTGTTTTGCATGTGGACTTGTGGATTTCTTAATGGACTATGTTATAATGATGGACTTCCTGCTGTTCGAAACTGAGCTGCCAAACCCTAATGCAAGCTATCTGTATTCGGATCTGATCTAATTACATGTGTTATTATGCCTACTAACTTCGATTTTTTTATTTAAAAAAAAAATTGTCGGCCCCTGCTTCGGATGCGTGGAACTGTAAGTCCCTCTTGGAGCAAGAGGGGAATCTCTTTTGATGTGCGCAGGTTGGTGACGGATTCCATCTCATATCTTGTATAATGTGTGCAGCCAATCGGTGTCGACGATACTTCTAGGAGGAAATTTGATAAGGAAGAGTACTTGGAGAGAGCTCGACAGAGGAAGAGTACTTTTAGTTCAGTAAATATGTAGTTGTTCTAGGTTTGGTTCTCTATTTGACTCCTTTCAATTTTGAATGCAGAAAGGGGTCCTCCTGCGCAAAGACAGCCTTTGAAGCACAGAGACTATGAAGTTGATCTTGATTCTCGTCTTGGCAAGACTCAGGTTTGTAAATATCCTACTATATACTTTGTGCATTTTAGCATGCTTTTTCTATGTTACTAAAATACCAAATAAGGATGGCAACGGGTCGGGTTCGGATCGGGTGGAGTCTCCGTGCACCCAAAACCGAAACCCAAAATCGAAACCCGAATCCGCCCCGAAAACCGATTCGGGTGGAAATCCATCACCAAAACCAAACCCGCGGATACCCAAAACCCGAACGGATACCCGAAACCCGAATGGATACCCGAAACCTGCGGATATATATACACATATTCACATGTATAAACAAGAGGCAACAAATAATAAATATTTTCATGAGTCAACTTTAAATAAATTTAATAATCTAAGTAAACAAATTATTATTAGTATATTATAAAACATGAGTTTTAATTCCAAATGATTTATTTCGGATATCCACGGGTGGAAAACCAAACCCGAAACCGAACCCGAATGGTTTCGGGGCCCCGAACCCGAAAACCGTGGGTGAAAAACCAGCCCCAAACCCGAACCCACAGAATCCGAAACCCGCGGATATCCGCCCCAAACCCGATCCGTTGCCATCCTTAATACCAAATGCTGTAGCAGCTACTTTGTCAATTATTTGTGCCCTGATTTTCTTGCCTCTAGTTTCATTGGTATTTTTGTGGGTTTTTTTCGACCATTACATGATTTGGAAAACTGTGTAGTGTGTACAATTAGAGGCAGATATGGTGCTATGGGTCTGATTGACTCTGAATTTCATTCAGTCCTTTATTGTGAACAACTTGCTTTTAGAAAAAGAACACCTTTCTGTTTCTAAAAGTTAATTAACTGCGCCTTTCATTATCTATTTTTCCAGGTGGTGACCCCGATTGCACCGTTGAATCAGCAGGTTTGTGCATAAATCCCATAAGGCATGTCATATAGTGTTTACAGTGATCTTGAAGTATTTTCATCATATCATAATTCTTGACAAAAATTTTTAGAATGTAGTTGCTTTGCTCCTTTGATAGTAAACACAGATCTTAGTAGGAGATACTTTTGTGTTCTTACCTCCTTTAAACTTTACCTACTTTCTGACAGGCTGGGTACTACTGTTCTGTATGTGAATGTGTTGTTAAAGATTCAGCCAACTATTTGGATCACATAAATGGCAAGAAGCGTAAGTGGATGAGGCTCTAGTTTATGCTCATTTAGTGCATTAAATTTTGCTATCATCATCTTCATGTTTCATGGGTCATGGTTTTAACATGACAGATCAGAGAGCGCTGGGCATGTCTATGCGTGTTGAAAGGGCATCACTTGAACAGGTAGTACATTTGAGCCTGGTATTGGATCTGCAATTGAAAGTCAGCAATTTTATTCTTTTCATATTTAGTAGCAGACCCAAATTTTTGTCATGCATTTGGCTCCCTTTGGCTCAGCTTCTGCTTGTGCAGAATCCAGCTTGTAGGAATAGCTTGTGAGAAGCAGAAGTTCAATTTCAGCCCTCTTAAGCCGCTTTAGAATCTATTCATTTGGTAGTACTTTGCTTTTTGTTTTTCCTGTTCGATGGTGAAGCAGAAACTATGCCAAAGAGGCACATCATGTCGTGACATTATTCTTATTGGTTCATGCAAGGCTAGTGAACAAATGCTTGAATAGTTAGTTTGTCATCCAATTTTCAGCCAGTGGTATTCTTTTAACCATCTGCTATTTGTTTTCACTCTTCTGGCTGCAGGTTGAGAAAAGGTTTGAGGCACTTAAGAAAAGGAAGGACCCAAGCGCCTTTACTGAACAAGGTGAGAAAGAAAAAAAGACAACATGAACCTGGATCGAGTTTGTAGTGAATTGCATACTATGTGCTTGTTGTGCAAAGGGCCTGTTAGGACCTGTTAGGAAGCAGTAGCTTCATGTCCTTGTATTGACCAAGGACTTGTTAGGATCCAACTAGTAGCTTCATGTTGACCTGTTAGGAATGAAGCATTGCAAATTAAGTTTTCCTCTGACTTTATTTGATAGACTTTTGTGAATTATGACTTGTGATGATGTTCTAAATAATGGTTTTGTGTTTGTGGATGTATATATGTATATTTGTGGCGGTCAGATTCGAATTTGATATATATATATATATATATATATATATATATATATATATATATATATATATATATATATATATATATATATATATATATATGTGTGTGTGTGGGGGGGGGGTCAGATTTGAATTTGAATTATTTATTTTTTTACTGAAAAATCCACTGTAGTGGCGGTTCTTGATTGAACCGCTCTTACAAATACACACAGCAGGGGCGGCTGGTGATACAGCCGCCCTTACAGAAGTCCACTACAGGGGCGGCTGAAAACACCAGCCGCCCCTACAGAGGGCACTGCAGGGGCGGTTAGGAAACCGCCCCTACAGAGACACCCTCTGTAGAAACACCCTGGGAAGGGCGGCTGGCGCAGCCGCCCCTACAGAGGCTCTAGAACCGCCCCTACAGTTACCTTCTGTAGTAGTGTGGACCATAATAGACTTCTACGACTTTGCCCCCTTATGATCAAATCCTAGCTTTGCCCTTGTCTAAAGGCGTAGGCGTGTCTAGTTGCCATTGTGAAGCTGCACCATATATCCTGGATAAGTGGAAGTATATATGCTAATCGAATAGTAGTGATCTGAAAAGAAAAGTGTTTGGTTGGCTGCATTGGTCCTATGAAGATATATTTGCCTACATGGGCGGATGCGATGAGCCTTCACCAAGACCGGGTCCATAGCAGATGCAATGCAACCGTGGGGCCAACATGCACCAAAAAAAACTAAATTTTAGCATATCCAATCATGCAGAAAGGTCATATATACATTTTTGCATGCACTTATGCAAGTTGCATCGCATGCACCCATGCAAACAGCCAAATGCTCCTCTATGATCTTGTATGCATCCAGCTCATGTGAGCAACGAAACACACCTTAAGCTGCTCAAACACAGCAAACCTTAAGGAAGTCAACTGTATCACCTTGTGGCCATTTACCTGGCCGTATATATGGCCATTTTCTTTTGAGAAGGAAGTACAGTTTATTTTGTGGAAGTTAATATGTACTATATAAGTAGCTTGGATGATGATGTTGCTTATATGCACTGATGTGATTAGCAACATATCAATGTTGCAGTCTATTTTCATTGACTGGGGCGATGAAGACTGTGTCAGAATCCTGAAGCAATGCAAAGAAGCTATTTCTACCCGGGAGCCAAAAGGGAAGGTGATAATCATTGATACGGTCATAGGCTCGGCATCCAAACGGATATTTGAAGAAGCTCAACTTTTGATGGACCTAAATATGATGGTGCTAGTGCCGGGCAAAGAGACCGGGGCGGCGATTGGGCCGCACGGGTGCCCATTGGCGGGGCACGCCCCCAACAATAGCCCGTCGAAAATGCGCGAGGAGGCCCTCGATCCGAGAATGTTTGCCTCGCGAATTTGTGGGACTGTATCGCAGTGGGGCTCGTACGCCGTCCCCCTACTCTGCTGAGTAGCAAAACACGATTTTCTGATTTTGAGCAACGGGACGGCAGTCTTTCCGCGCCTTAACGTAGTGCCGTCGGATGCTTTTACCACCGACTTTAGCTTCGTGAACCTGATTGAACACAAGGCTGAGGAAATCGTTGGGTTTTACGACGACAGAGAGCACAAGGGCCGATGCCAATCGCTGGCTGGTAAACGGCGATTAAACCATGTCTTCGACGCAATGGGTTTGTGCTATGTTGACCGGTCGGGCCCTTCGACCAGCCTTCCGGCTGATGACGCTGCCCCCCGTGGTCGCGGGCAATGAACCCGTGGGCGAAGAGGCCCGTGGGCGAAGAGGCAGGGAGCGAAAGGTGACGGCTGGACGCGGAACGAGCACGGCTGCCATGGAGTCCCGCAAGCGAAAGCTTGGCGGTCGGGGACGTGGCCCTGTGGAACCTGCTGATGTGTGGATCGGAAGAGAGATTGCTGGCAAGGTGGGCAATAGCAAAAAGGTCATGATCGGACAGACCCGCAGATTTGGGCAAGTCTGGACCAAAATGGTAGTGTTTGCGGTTTTCCTTATGTATTTTCCTTGCTGTTGGTTTTTGGCTATGCCTTTCGCTTGTTTGGTTCATTCGTGATTTGTCTATTCACTAATGTGGTGCTGCTCTTAATGTTACAGGCGCCTTCGAGCTTTGACGGGGTGGCTAGTAAAGCCAAGGTCGCTGATGTGAACGACGCTTTCGTCCTTACGGATGCTATGTCCGTCGGCGACCTTTTTACCGGTACCAAGAAGGCGAAGAAGAATTCGTGCAAGGCCAGCGAACCCCCGAAGGAGACCGGCGCGAAAAAGGCAAGGCTGACTTCTGTCAAAGAGGCAGGTTCTGCTCGCTCGGTCCCTAGTCCCGTGGTGTCTCCTGACGTTTCGGGCTCTCAGCTGCAGGGTAAGTCTAGATTTTAAGCGGAGTACATTCGCTTGAGCGATGATTTGTCCGTGGGCAACTCTTCGGTCACGGGGCGCTGCAGCTAAGTTCTCGCCCTAAGGATTACGTCGAAATGCGAGTTTATTCAGGGTCGAGCTCTTCTAGTGAAATGAATTCCGCAAAGGAGGAGACTTACTGGATTGCTCGTTCTTTAGGGGCCTCGTAGAGTTCCCGGGTCATCGCCAACGTTGACTACCGCACGATTGGCCTCCTGCCAAACCCGGGTGGAGCCAGCTTCGCCGACGCGTGCGCTGGTTCGTTCTTAGCTCCAGAGTTGGAGAGGGACCTTTTGAAAGTTCCTAATTTGTCCCTTATAGATGCTGTGAACTTCCATGCTGCTAGTGTAAGTGGTTATGTCTTTATCTGCATTCGCTTTTGCCGTTTGATTTCCGCCCTATGGTAGTTTCATGTGATACTTTCGACTTTCGCAGGCCATGCTCCTGGCTTGAGGGCTTCAGCATCAAGGCCATGCTTTTCGCCAGGGCCTAGAGAAAGATCTTGCGGCCAAGGACGTAAAGATTTGAGCCCCCGAGATGGAGCCCTCGAGAAGAAATTGGTCGAAGAGAATGCATCCGCCCACAAGACTACGGTGGAGCAGGTTGAAAAGATGCGCCAGGACTTCAAGAGGTACCAGAAGAGGAAGCTCGAAGAGTGGAACAAGCTTGTCGCTGGCGCCCAGAGGGCGGCGAACATGTACAACGATCTTATTGAGAGCATGGGCGAAGAGTCGGAAGCTCCCCGTGATTCTCCTGTTGTTGATTTCATGGAGTGGCTAGCGAATGAGCTGGCCATTGTGAGCGACTATATGACCGTCGGGCGAGAGTATGCCTCTTTCATTTTGCTTCGTGCCTTTGCTCTGGCCTTGGAGGAATGCGGGTGCGATCATCTCGAAAAATTTGAGATTAAGGACCCGCAGACTTACTGGAACGCTCCTAGCCGTGCTCATGAGGCGGGACAAAGGTTCTTTGAAGGGTTCTGGCGTCCTGGAGGCCATGATCTTGCTCTCCTTAGGGCTAGCATTAGCCATGGCAAGGTGACTTATTTCCTGTTTGCTTTGTTTGTCGCTCTGTAATGGGTTGCGAAAGGATGCTCATGTGCCTTTGAAACCCACCTTGCGCCTCTATTGAGGAGTCTTGCGACTATCAAGGAGAAGGTGAAAAAAATACATTGCCGAGTGGAATGCCCGCGAGGGCGTGGCTGTTAGCGGCTCGGGTGAAACGGCTGCGCCATCGACCCCTGTCACGGAGACCCCAGCCAATGATGGCACTGGCACCCCTACCGAAGATGCTGCTCAGGATGGGGTAGATAATTAGGATTTGTTTGTAGTTTTTGAGACATTGCCTTTGTGTGGATGTTGGTTGTAAGACGGCTTAAACTCTTATGGTTTCGGTGCACAGGTTCTAGACGCGGAGCTTACGCAACCTATGGATATCTATCCGCTTATGATTAATTGCAATGGCTTTCATGTTGGAGGCGCGTCTTGGTCTCTCCACCGCGAGCGATTTCTAGGATCTAGTATGAGTGGGTTTTTCAGGTCACGCTTCCAACGCTTTCTTAAGAAAGATGAGTTTCTTTGTAGATTCTTCTATTCGGAATTTGATGCTTCTATTTTGGAAGATCGAAAAACTCACCATGAACAGTCTGAGCGTGATTGTGGGCAATCCTCGGCCTCCAACTTGAAAGATCCCAAGGGGGAGCCGGCCAAAGAGATGAGCATAGATTTGGAGAACCACCGATATGGTTTTCATCTTCGTCCCAGAAGGGACGGAGTGTAGTTTTGTGTGAAGATGTTGTATGATGCTTGCATTCTCGCTTAGCGAGCTGTTGTGTATAGTTGATCTTGTATATACACTATATACACACTGTTGGTGTTGCTTTTTTGCACGCTTTTCACTGATCGGTTGTTTTTTAGAGTACTCTGTCATTTTCTTATGTTTTGATTATGCCCCCCCCCGACCCTATGGAGGTGATATTGCTCTGGCCTTTCGCTTGGGCAATAGGGGGGCATCTCCGAGCTGGTAGGGTGAAAGAAATGGCGAAGCTCGAGCGTCCGATGCATCTTCTTTGCCAGCCCCTCATCATAATGTTTAGGAGAGATGGTGATGTTCCCCGTAACCCTTTTGGGCGAAAGATACGCGAGTGCATTACCGTTCGAGGTGGCTTCTTTGTTAGCCCCTCAGCATATCGTTTAGGCGAAGAGAGAAACGCCGTCCCCCCAACCTTTAGGGCAAGGGCATACGTGAAGGCACGAATTCTCGAAATGGCTTCGTTGCTAGCCCCTCGGCATATCGTTTAGGCGAGAAGAGGAACGCTATCCCCCCAACCTTGAAGGTGAGGGGATAGCTGGTCCGTTCGTCATCTTGATATATTTTCATTTTTCTTTTCGATCTTGGCTCTTTTACATTCTTTTCGATCCTGGCTGTTTTGCATTTGATTCAAGGCTAGGTGTATTGGCAGATATGTACAATCGGTATCTTTCCTTCTACTTCTTGGCTCGCAACATCTAGTTTGTTCGGTTAATTCGCTAGAGTGAATCAGCACTATTGCTGGGCGAATTAGCTAAATTGAAGTGCAGTGTTATGATGTCGTGCTTCCTAGCGCAGAGCTGCAGGAAGAATCTCGTCTCGTGCATGTACATGGCCTTGCTTTGTAGTTTCGCCGTACGGGGGGATGTTACGTTTTTTTCTTACAACATCCCTCCATGCTTGCTTGTCGCAGTGCTGCGGCCATATCCTCTTGCCTCATCTTTCAACTCCGTGCCTGGCGAATATAAGGTGCATGCTCCTTTTGGACAGTATGCGCCCTAAACTTTATGTGGTTTCTCGCAACATCTAATTTTTGCTACCGGCGGCCTTGTGCTTGTACAGCCTTCTGTCCCACACTCGAGACTTCACTATTTCGGCAGATGCTGAAAACCCTGACACTCTCTCAAGCCCACTCATCGCCTTTATAGGCGAGAACTCTCTCGCTATCGCTCCTGACTTGAGCGGCTTGGGTGTCTAACCAAATGCTTTTGCTCTAGACTGATACTTGATATGCTATCTGGGGGTGCCTGGTCCTCTTATTTATGTGTTTCTAGGGGTTCGATGTCATTAATTTTGGGTGTTGTGTTTGGTAGCGGTATTTAACGCCAGTGTTTGGTTCCGTTCTTAATCTTTGCTATCCTTTTGTAGTACATGCACGTACTTACGGATGCGCTTCTTTATAATGCTTTTGTTTTTTATGACAATGTGAGTGGATCTTTTCGCACTCATGTTTGCAACCTTTGTCTCCGCGCGCTTTGTGGCTCTTAAGCCTTTCTTGTTCATCACCACTCCTTTTTGGCAGTGTGAATTGTTTTTAGCCTACCCAGCTTTCTGCGTTCGTCTACACTCCTTTTTGGTGCGGCGAGACGCTTGCTATGGCTTATTGGCCATTTCCTTTCGTTCACTCATTTTTGGTGAAGCGGAAAGTTTTTACAGCCTTTAGGCTTTTCTAGGTTGTTCAGTTTTCGATCGTGACATTTCGCACGAGTGCAAAACGGCGCAACCTTCTTTGGTGCCTGCCGTCGTCGATATCCGTGACCTACCGAAGCCAGGTTTTGTTTCGACGTCTTACTTTTTAGATCTTTTGTGGGGAAAGGCTCAACTTAAGTTAAGAAGGGTACATGGGATCGCCTCATTAAAAAACCTCATGCCTTTTTTGCTAAGGCTTCCCCTGTGAGGAAAAAGAGTGTGGATCCCTTTTTTGCTGTTTATAGAAATGTTGAAAAAGAAAAATTACAACCCTCTGGGGGCGAAATTACAACCATGTTCGCCTCCATGAATGGCCTATACCTGCTTGAGAAGGATATAGCCGATTTGGTCCAAGATGTAGATCCAATGCGAAGAATCTTCTTAGCTATCAAGGATAATTTGTCCCCATATCTCTACAAAACCTTGACACCTTTATCCATCATTGAAGATCAAGCCCCAAAGGTGAAAAAAACTCAAAGGAATCTGTCTGACCGTGAAGCTTTGATGGCCAAGAAGAATTCCAATAAACAAGAAGCCAAAGAATTAGC